CTTTATTCAGGATGTGGCGAAGTCTGCAGGACTGTCAGATACAAGCTGACCTTTCATACGGCAGAGGGGTCACGGTCAAATATGCAAAAAATATTAACTTTTTTCACAAAACAAGTTCAAAATGCCTCGTTTTAAATAAATTGTGTTATCTAAATTTAGTGGGAAGGGCTGATGGCACAGACTGGTTGCCTCGCTTCTGTCATTGCCCCAGGGCAGCTGTAGCTACAATAGTAGTTTATCACCACCGTATAGTGAATTAATAATAATAATAATGCATTTGTTTTATATAGTGCTTTTTGGGACACTCAAAGACGCTTTACATGTCATTATTCTTTCTCTTCATACACGGTGGTGATAAACTACTACTGTAGCCACAGCTGCCCTGGGACACACTGACAGACATGTGTGTCCTGAAAACGCTGTATAAAACTGATGCATTATTACAATTATTATTACAAATCCTGAAATGTGTAGACTTACATTAAGAGAGGATAAATAACTAAAGTGTAAGTATCACAGAGCAGTATAAAATAAAGCATTTAAAGAGCACAAGGAATAAAACACAGGTCTCACTTGTGTCCACTAGATGGCGCCTGTGTCATGAAGAAAATGCAGAGTAAGTAAGTAATCTTTATTTATATACCGCCTTTCACAGACCAGAGTCACAAAGTGGTTTACAATTGTGATTTTTTTTGGGCATTTGTCTCTCATTCCACACAGAGATGGGAGCGGGGTCGCCAGTACATGCCAGACCTATTGCACATGTTTTTAGTGGTAGGGGAAACCGGAGTACCTGGAGGAAACCTATGCAGACACAGGGAGAACATACTAACACCACTCAGAAAGTCCCTGGGTCCGACCGGGATTCGAACCCAGGACCGTCTTGCTGAGAGGAGAGAGTGCTATTCACTCAGCCACCCTGCCGCCCTTAGAAATGTTGTCTATGAAAGAGATTTTAAGATTCCGTTTATTTTCCATCTGCAGTAAAACCACCCTCGAATACCTGTGCAAGAATACCCCGGAAATAATAGTATAAGTATTTATTTTAGGACAGTTAAAATGGGCCAAAATCAAGGTTATTTCTGCTCAATTCAAGCCAATATTAACTCACTATTTCAAAGACTGAAAGGTGACCAATTTTGAGTAATCACTTCCATCAGTGTGCCCCAGGGCAGCTATGGCTAGTCCCAGCAGGAGGACTGTCCCTGTGCTCCTCAGGGTCCCAGCAGGAGGACAGTCCCTGTGCTCCTCAGAGTCCCAGCAGGAGGCCAGTCCCTGTGCTCCTCAGAGTCCCAGCAGGAGGACAGTCCCTGTGCTCCTCAGAGTCCCAGCAGGAGGACAGTCCCTGTGCTCCTCAGAGTCCCAGCAGGAGTCCAGTCCCTGTGCTCCTCAGAGTCCCAGCAGGAGTCCAGTCCCTGTGCTCCTCAGAGTCCCAGCAGGAGTCCAGTCCCTGTGCTCCTCAGAGTCCCAGCAGGAGTCCAGTCCCTGTGCTCCTCAGAGTCCCAGCAGGAGGACAGTCCCTGTGCTCCTCAGAGTCCAGCAGCAGGAGTCCAGTCCCTGTGCTCCTCAGAGTCCCAGCAGGAGTCCAGTCCCTGTGCTCCTCAGAGTCCCAGCAGGAGTCCAGTCCCTGTGCTCCTTAGAGTCCCAGCAGGAGTCCAGTCCCTGTGCTCCTCAGAGTCCCAGCAGGAGTCCAGTCCCTGTGCTCCTCAGAGTCCCAGCAGGAGGCCAGTCCCTATGCTCCTCAGGGTCCTCAGAGTTGGTTCTTATGGCACTAACATGTCACAGACTTTGGTTCGAAGCCCTAGAGAGACTTGTAACAAACAGATTTAAAGTCTAGTCTCAGAAATAGAACTGATCATAAATATTTCATAGACTGACATGTGGTCAGTTTTGAAAAAAAAATCAAAATTTTGAAAGTTAAAAAAGAAGTTGGTACTTTATAAGAAGAACTATATGTAGAAGTACTATATGGAAACTACGATCCATACGGCACTTTTAAAAACATTATCTGCTCTTTCTAAAGTGTCAGATTCAAACATATGTATCTCATTAAGCACAATAGGTTTTTTTCCTCTTACAAAGACAAACATGTTTTGACTGTGGCCCGGGCAGACGTGACTCTGTGATGCTCTGTCGCAACACGTTCAGTGCAAGTTTCAGTTTTACTTCTTCAGTTCCTGTTTCGATTCCTGTTTGTCACCAGCACAATCTTCTACTCGCTGCAAATGTTTTTCACGTGTGACGAAGCCAAAGATAAGATAAGATAAGATAAGAATTCCTTTATTCGTCCCACAGTGGGGAAATTTTGATGTTGCATCGCACAGACAGGACAGTAGTAAGAGCACACAGGGAGCACACACAATATATACACTATATACAAATAAGTAGTAGCTATGTTTCTTAACTAACATAACTAGCTTTAGATTGTCGCGGGTTCTCAAAAGAAATGCAAACAAAATGATATGGTCTGGTCAGGTTATATTTGTTTAGTGCAGATGTTTATTTTTGCTGCAGCAAGTGAGGGCAAACCCAGTAGTGAACTAAAAGAATATCTACAGTGACTACCCACCAGGGCATCAGGGAGTACAGCTCTGGAGCGTTGTGCCAGCAGTGCACAGCATCCTCATCATCCAGCTTCCACACACATTGTGGCTCTGACAGCCCTGCCTTATACCCTGAAGCTCCTCCCCCCAAACCAATTAATACAAATAATAACAATTTCTCTTCAAATAGAAACATTTTGATTATCAACATAATTCCTAAATTCATAATATATTATCACAAATGAAAATAAAAACCAACAAGAATACATGATAAATCATAGAATACAATAATTTCTCACCAAAATCCGTGTGCCACGTGACCCGACGCTTGACGTCACATTTGTGCGCCCTACTCTCGGCGCATAAAAACAAGGAAGACCGCGGGGTTCGGTTTGGCCAACTTTGCTGTGCTGTGCGTGTGACAAAATACTGAGATACTTTTGGACCGGTTGGAAGTACTATGGACTATAGAGTGATTGAACGCCAGCCAAGTGTGCACCCTAGACTGACGCTATGAGAGAGACATGCAGGAGGAAACAGGTAAGTCTGTATGAGCGTGTATGAACATATGTGTGTGCATGCGTGTGTGCGTGTGTGTGCGCGTGTTCACGCCGTGGCCTCTTCTCACCCGCGAGCTGACGGGGTTACTCCGTCACACTATTCTTCCCCTTCCCAAGGTTGCCAAGGTTGGGCAACCGAGACAGATAGTCCGCAACAACATTGGCCGTGCCCTTCCGATGACGCACAGTGAATTTAAAAGGCTGTAGGGAAAGGTACCATCGCGACAGCCTGGCGTTGTGGTCTTTCATGGTGTTGATCCAGGTGAGAGCCCGGTGATCCGTCTCAAGGATAAACTCTCGCCCTAGGAGATAGTATCGGAGACTCTCAAGGGCCCACTTGATGGCGAGACCCTCCTTTTCCACCACGGAGTACCTCGCCTCTCTTGGCAGCAACTTCCTGCTCAGGTACAGAATGGGCCTTTCTTCACCTGGATCTCCTTGGACTAGTACAGCACCCAGTCCCACGGCAGAGGCGTCCACTTGAACCACAAAGTTCTGGGTAAAATCTGGACTTCGAAGGACAGGTGAGGAGCACAGAAAGTCTTTGAGTGTCTTAAAAGCTACCTCACATTGCTCAGTCCAGTTCACCGGATTCTTTTGGTCCTTCGTGGTGAGTGTGGTAAGCGGAAAAGCAATCGTGGAAAACTGGGGAACAAAACGTCTGTACCATCCAGCAAGGCCTAAGAAAGACCGCACCTCTTTCTTGGTTCTGGGCCTTGGACAGTTCCTTATCGCCTCCACTTTGTCGACCTGGGGTCGGACTTCGCCATGGCCGAGTTGATAGCCCAGATAGCGCACCTCTTCTCGGGCCCACTCACACTTTTTGACATTTAGGGTGAGCCCTGCACTCTGGATCTTCCCCAAGATCTTCCTCAAGTGCCTGAGATGTTCGTCCCATGTCTGGCTGTAGATCACCACGTCATCAAGATATGCGGCACTACACTCACTACAGCCCTCCAGGACCTTGTCCATCAGCCGTTGGAATGTTGCAGGTGCTCCATGTAGACCAAACGGCATTACGGTGAACTGGAACAGGCCTGCTGGAGTGCGAAAGGCAGTGTAGGGCCGACAGCTGGGATCCAGAGGCACCTGCCAGTAACCCTTGCACAGATCAAGGGTGGTGATGTAGCGGGCAGAGCCGATCCGTTCCAACAGCTCATCAATGCGAGGCATCAGATATGCGTCGAATTCAGAGACTGCATTGAGCTTCCGGAAATCAATGCATATCCGGAGTGTACCATCCTTCTTGTACACTATGACGACCGGGCTACACCATTCAGAGCTGGATGGTTCGATCACCCCCAACTGCATCATAGCCTCTATCTCCTTCTTCAGCTGCTCGACCAACTTTTGGGGAACACGATAGGGCCTCTGACGGAACGGTGTCTGGTCCTTCAGTCGGATGGTGTGTTCGATCACTACAGTCTGACCAGGTTTAGCGGAAAACAGGGTTGGCATCTCCTCAAAAACTTGGCTGAGCTGGGTGATCATGTTGGTGGTAAGGTGGGACAAGTTCGGGGTACTCACCACTTCAGTGACAATGGAAACATCAGGATCGTCCTCTTCCTCCATCTCAACTGCTTGTACGAGAAGGGAGGCAGTTGCTTCAGGAGCGACTGGCTCTTTCCACTCCTTTAACAGATTCACGTGATACGTCTGGTGGGACTTTTTCTTGTCTGGGTGATGGATTTGGTAGGTGACAGGTCCCATACGCCTGGTGATAAGGTAAGGGCCCTGCCACTTGGCCAGCAGCTTGCTGTTGGAGGAAGGTAGAAGAAGCAGCACTTTTTGCCCGGATTCAAAAGTCCTGTCTCTGGCCCGCTTGTCATACCACCGCTTCTGCTTCCTCTGAGCTTCTCGCAAGTTCTCTACTGCCTCCTCCCGATACTGATCCAGTTTATCCCTCATCTGGAGCACAAATTGCACAACACTTCGATCACTCTGCTTGGTGTCGGGTGCAGTCCATTGCGATTCCAGCAGATCCAGCGGTCCCTGTACATCCCACCCATACAAAAGTTCAAACGGTGAGAAGCCGGTGGACTCCTGTGGGGCCTCTCTGTAGGCGAACAACAGAAAAGGAAGCCATCTGTCCCAATCCTTTCCCGAGTCGTCCACAAACTTCCGGAGCATCTTTTTGAGCGTCTGGTTGAACCGCTCCACTAGTCCATCAGTCTGTGGATGATAAGGGGTGGTTCGGATGGCGGAAATGCCAAGTTGTTTATGGAACAGGTTAAGCAGCCGAGATGTAAAGTTTGTGCCTTGATCGGTGATGATTTCATCTGGGATGCCGACTCGCGAGAACAGCTGAACCAGGGCTCGTAACACACTAGGCGCTGTAATAGTCCGAAGGGGAAAAGCCTCCGGGAAACGAGTGGCGTAGTCGCACACGACGAGGACGTATTGATGACCTCGCCCACTCCGTGGCAGTGGACCGATTATATCCATGGCAATTCTGCGAAATGGGACAGAGACAATGGGGAGAGGTTGCAGTAGTGCCCTGTCGGATTTGCGAGGAGACCCGGTGAGCTGACATGTTGGACATGTGGTGCAGTATGCCTGGACGTCAGTATACATGCCTGGCCAAAAGAATCGTGTGCTGACCCGCAAGAATGTTTTGTGACGGCCTAAATGTCCAGCCCAGGGAAGCGTGTGTGCGAGGTGTAACACTAACTGTCTACAGCTAGCAGGGATAACCAGACGTTTGCGACCCTCATTACATGCATACAGAATTTCCTCCTCCACTACAAACTGTTCCTTGCTGGACACAGGGTTTGGACTAGCAACCACCTTATCAAACAAATGTTTTAAAGAGGTATCCTGTCTCTGTAAACAAGCAATGTCCCCTGGTACATCCCACAACCCATCAGCAATTAGCCCCTTGGTATCTGTCACAGCTAACCCTTTCTCAAAACGGCGCTGCCGCTTAGATTTACCTGGGCCCTTAGTTCCTCCCTCGCACAGACTAACATCCAAATCAGGCAGAGGTTGGAGGCCAGTAACCTGGTCTTGGGAACGCGTTACAACCGGACATGCAATATTACCAACTGAACTCGAAGTCCCCCCAAAGTCACTCCCTGTCCCTTGCAATAAGTCCATCAGCAGAGGGAAATCATTCCCGAGGATCAAGTCTTTTGGCAGGTTGTCAACTACGGCTACAGTCAGTAGATATACTTGTCCATCCAGTTCTATAGAGACCTCGGATCTCGGGTAGAGGTGACAGTCTCCATGGACACAAACAACATCCGTTTTAGCGCTATAGTCTATACTGCCCATAGGAACTAAACTTCTCTTAATCAGGGAAGTGAAACTCCCACTGTCCAGTAGTGCCATAGCTGGCTGTCCGTTAACAGTAACCAGTTTTTCAGTTTTTGGTGCAGAAGGTGGTCCTGGTGGTGGTGCTGGACGTTGACTCGAACTGGGAAAGCGTGTGAATCCTCGATGCGCGTTCTGGTACTGAAGAGCTAACTTCGCTGCTGTAAGGCCGTCCTCCAAGTTGTGCTCCTTCACCCACATACGGACGTCCGGCGGAAGCACACACAGCAGTTGCTCCAAGACGATGAGCTCACCGATCGCGTCCTTGGACAGGATGTCGGGGCGAATCCAGCGACGGTAGAGTCCTCGCAGCCGATGGTAGGTCTCCGTGGGCGTCTCTCCAGCAGGAACTCCGGTGGCTCTAAAGCGCTGTCGATACGTCTCCGAGGAAATATCGAATTTGGTGAGGAGCGCTGCCTTCAGGTGAGTATAGTTATGCGCTTCCCCCTCATCCATTGCCGTGTATGCATCCAAGGCCTTCCCAGAGAGGAGTGGGACCAGCCGGCAAGCCCACTCGGTCTCTGGCCATCTCCAGGTCTTGGCAATACGTTCAAACCTGAGCAGGTAGTTTTCAATGTCCTCACTGGGTTGGAACGGTGGAATTTTTGGATCACTGAAGTGTCTCCATTCGGGTCCAGCATCCCTTTCCGCATTCCAGGAAACACCCAGCGGCCTCGCTGTCTCACGCTCGTCTGGGGGTACCACGACTCTAGTGCCACCAGGGGTCGGAAGTCCAAGATGTGCGCTTCCAGTAGCCGCTTCAGTGTAGCTGCTTGGGCATTCCTCCGAAAACCGAAAATGTGTTGGAGTCTGAGGGGCCTGGGCAGCTGGGAGTGCATTCCGTAACTCTCTGAGCTCCGCCACCAGTCCTTCCTCTCTCCTCTCTTGTCCATTTAAAAAATCCTTTAATAAAGCCACCAGCTCACCAACTGGCTGAAATGACGGGGATGATGGTTCAGAGTCTCCATGTTCTCCCTCGTTCTGCCTTTCCAAAAAGTCCTCTTCAAGTTTGCGGGGCCACAGTCCTTTTCTGCGACCAGCCATATCCCACTTCTGACACCAAAAATGTCGCGGGTTCTCAAAAGAAATGCAAACAAAATGATATGGTCTGGTCAGGTTATATTTGTTTAGTGCAGATGTTTATTTTTGCTGCAGCAAGTGAGGGCAAACCCAGTAGTGAACTAAAAGAATATCTACAGTGACTACCCACCAGGGCATCAGGGAGTACAGCTCTGGAGCGTTGTGCCAGCAGTGCACAGCATCCTCATCATCCAGCTTCCACACACATTGTGGCTCTGACAGCCCTGCCTTATACCCTGAAGCTCCTCCCCCCAAACCAATGAATACAAATAATAACAATTTCTCTTCAAATAGAAACATTTTGATTATCAACATAATTCCTAAATTCATAATATATTATCACAAATGAAAATAAAAACCAACACAGAAAGAATACATGATAAATCATAGAATACAATAATTTCTCACCAAAATCCGTGTGCCACGTGACCCGACGCTTGACGTCACATTTGTGCGCCCTACTCTCGGCGCATAAAAACAAGGAAGACCGCGGGGTTCGGTTTGGCCAACTTTGCTGTGCTGTGCGTGTGACAAAATACTGAGATACTTTTGGACCGGTTGGAAGTACTATGGACTATAGAGTGATTGAACGCCAGCCAAGTGTGCACCCTAGACTGACGCTATGAGAGAGACATGCAGGAGGAAACAGGTAAGTCTGTATGAGCGTGTATGAACGTATGTGTGTGCATGCGTGTGTGCGTGTGTGTGCGCGTGTTCACGCCGTGGCCTCCTCTCACCCGCGAGCTGACGGGGTTACTCCGTCACAGATGCTGAAAATGCTTCAATACCAGTCAAATATATATATATATATGTAGTAGTGCAGTTATATACTGTCAAGTTGTATAAGTAAAGTGACATGAGGTAAAGTGACATTGTTCTGTGACATTCTGAAGTTGCAGTATTGCACATTGCACATGATTTAAGAATTTACTTAATTACAGATGAATGAAATGTACAGGCTCAGCAGTTCTTATTGTACAGTCTGACAGCAGCAGGAAGGAAAGACCTACGGAACCTCTCCTTCACACAGCGAGGGTGAATTAGTCTGTCACTGAAGCTGCTCTCCAGAGCAGAGAGAGTGTCCTGCAGGGGGCGATAGTCATGGTCCAGCATAGATGTTAGTTTGCTCAGGACCCTCCTGTCCCCCACCTGCTGCACTGTGTCCAGGGAACAGCCCAGGACTGAGCTGGACTTCCTGATGTTCCAGCTTCTTCCTGTCCCTCTCTGTGATGCTGCTGTTCCAGCAGACCACACCGTACAAGAGGCTGATGCCACCACAGAGTCATAGAAGGTCTTCAGGAGTGGCCCCTGCACTCCAAAAGACCTGAGCCTCCTCAGCAGGTAGAGGCGACTCTGGCCCTTCTTGAAGAGGGCGTCTGTGTTATGAGTCCAGTTCAGTTTGTGGTTCAGAGGAACACCCAGGTACTTGTAAGAGTCCACTCTCTCGATGTCCTTTCCCTGGATGTTCACTGGAGCTGGAGCGGCAGAATGACATCCGCGGAAATCCACCACCATCTCCTTGGTCTTCCCCGCGTTGATGAGGAGGTGGTTCATCTCCTTGGTCTTCCCCGCGTTGATGAGGAGGTGGTTCATCTCCTTGGTCTTCCCCGCGTTGATGAGGAGGTGGTTCATCTCCTTGGTCTTCCCCGCGTTGATGAGGAGGTGGTTCATCTCCTTGGTCTTCCTCACGTTGATGAGGAGGTGGTTCATCTCCTTGGTCTTCCCCGCGTTGATGAGGAGGTGGTTCATCTCCTTGGTCTTCCTCACGTTGATGAGGAGGTGGTTCATCTCCTTGGTCTTCCTCACGTTGATGAGGAGGTGGTTCATCTCCTTGGTCTTCCTCACGTTGATGAGGAGGTGGTTCATCTCCTTGGTCTTCCTCACGTTGATGAGGAGGTGGTTCATCTCCTTGGTCTTCCTCACGTTGATGAGGAGGTGGTTCATCTCCTTGGTCTTCCTCACGTTGATGAGGAGGTGGTTCCGCTGACACCAGTCCACAAAGTCCTGTATAACTCCTCTGTACTCTGTGTCATCGTCTTCGGAGCTGAGTCCGATGATGGCAGAGTCAGAGAACTTCTGGAGGACACAACCGTCCGTGTTGTGTCTGAAGTCTATTTCAAAGGTAGTTGTGCATGTGGGGATCAACGCATGAAACTTCAGCAGTCAGAAGTAACAAAGAAGCACTTTATGGATCTGTTCCACCTGCTCCAGTCCTCCGGGTTGTCTGTTTTTATCTCTGGCCCAATTCCGACTGTAAACCGGGGTGACTGCTTGTACAGCTGTGTTGTGGCGCTCAACATGTGGCTCCAGACTGCATGTAGAACTTTTTACTTTGTTTTTGTGAACAACTTTGGCCTGTTCTGGAAACGGCATGTGGCCTATCGTCCAGATGGTCTCCACCCGAACAGATACGGCACCAGTTTGTTTATGGACTATTTACGCCATGTTATTCAGTGCTCCCCGAGGGGGGCGTGACTGTTTACATCGCAGCCCCCTCGGCCCCCACCACCACCACCACCACCACCCTCCTCCTCCTCCTCCTCCTCCTCCACACCAGCACCGGGTGAGTACTGTGGTGCAAACACTGACCTCTCTCCGTCTGGCAGTGTAATGACAGTCCTGCCACTAAACTGTGATGAATCCTGCTCTGAGCAACAGAGCAATGCCATGCTGAATCTGGGACTGACACAGCAAAAGTTTTCACATTTTAAATCAATTGAAACTGTGTGCGTTTCTCGCACCAGTTCAAAAATATGTTTTAATTCTAAAAGACAAAATGATCACATCAGAAGGAAAGGAGCTAGGCGGTCCATCCCTGCAAATCTAATTCCTATTCCTTGCAGTAATCAATCAACCACACCCACTGATACTGATATTAATTTTAACCTTGCTTTGCTTAATGTCAGATCACTATGCAACAAATCATTTTTAATTAATAACTTTATCTGTTCTTATGATCTTGATTTTATGTTTATGACCGAAACATGGCTTGACCAAACTACAGGAAACACGGTTTTAATAGAAGCAACGCCACCAAATTTCAAATTTGAGTCTGAAATGCGAGAAAACAAAAGGGGGGAGGCATAGCTGCAGTTTTTAGAAATCACATTGTCTCCCATAAAGTGCCCTTGGGAAAATTTTCATCATTTGAATATGTGTCTTTTAAAATTGAACAAAAGCAATCTTCTTCTATTCTTATCATTGTCCTATACAAGCCACCGCAGTCATGTCATACTTTTATTGATCATTTTACTGAGTTACTTTCAGTTGTATGCACAGATTTTGATGGTTTAGTTATTACAGGTGATTTTAATATTCATGTGGATAATGTTAATGACAGATACGCAAAAGAGCTGAGTTCCATACTTGAATCCTTTGGCCTCACTCAGCATGTGAGTGGCCCCACCCACAGCAGAGGACACACCCTGGACCTGCTTATCACGAAAGGGGTGAATATTTCAAAAGTTAATGTAGTTGATGTTGCTCTGTCGGATCATTTCTGTGTACTTTTTTAACATGTGTTTTGCTACCAGACCACCCGCTAAATACGAAATTGTTAGAAGTAGACACTTAAATGAAAACACGGGTGAACTATTTATGGGAATGATCCATTTTGAGAACACATCATGTTCTACTGTAGATGAACTGTTTAACTCTGTCACCTCTAGTGTGTTGAATGTTCTGGATACCATTGCCCCTGTGAAGGTAAAAATGGTCACAAATAAGCAAAAAGCCCCATGGATAAAAGCAGGCCCGGTCAGGGCACAGAAGCAAGAGTGCCGGAGAGCAGAGAGAAAGTGGAGAAAGTCCAACCTCCAGGGTGATTATAAACTCTTAAAAGAGAAGTTGTGTGAGTTTAACAGAGTACTACGTAGAACAAGAGAATTATACTTTTCTGAAACTATTGAAGGCTGCAGCAACAATCTGCGTGTTCTATTTTCAACAATCAATAGATTAACAAACCCCCCTGTTAAGTTGCCATTAGAACACTACTCCAAATCCAGGTGTAATGAGTTTGCACAGTTCTTCAGAGACAAGGTTCAGGGTATCAGAAATGCCATCACCTCCACAACACAAGTAACAATGCAACATCCAGTGAGGCTTTGTGAGCTAGCTCAATTTGCACCTGTCAATAATGAAACTGTTAAAAAGATAATCACAGGTCTGAGTTCCTCTACCTGCAGTCTGGATGTACTACCTCCTAGATTTCTGAAGTCTGTTATGTGTAGTCTATTACCCTCATTGACAAAAATGGTAAACATGTCTTTTTTATCTGGAACATTTCCAATGGCCCTGAAAATAGCAGTCATCAGGCCCCTCCTAAAAAAGAGCAGTTTGGATGCTGCGGTACTTGAAAATTACCGTCCCATCTCAAATCTGCCTTTCATGGGAAAAATTCTTGAAAAAGTTGCCTACCAACAACTTACTGAATTTTTAATATCTAATGACTCATTTGACATGTTCCAGTCTGGCTTTAGACCACACCACAGCACTGAGACCGCTCTAGTCAAGGTAAAAAATGATATTCGGCTTAACACTGATGCAGGAAAAGTCTCTGTTTTAGTCATGTTAGATCTGAGTGCCGCTTTCGACACCGTTGACCATGAGATTCTCATGCAGAGACTGGAGGACTGGGTTGGTGTTGCTGGTACCGCCCTAAGCTGGTTTAGGTCCTATCTAGAAGAAAGGAAGTATTGTGTGGAGATTGGAGACTATGTCTCAGATAATATGGCCCTGACCTGCGGAGTGCCACAGGGGTCGATTCTGGGACCTCTCCTGTTCAATATTTACATGCTGCCATTAGGTCAGTTAATTCAAAGTATGAAAGTGTCCTACCACAATTACGCTGATGACACTCAGATCTATGTCTCACTGACTGCAGGAGAACATGGACCAGTGGACTCACTCCTTCACTGTATCCAACAGATCAGTGACTGGATGCAATACAATTTTCTCCAGCTAAATGCAGACAAAACCGAAATAATTGTCTTTGGTCCCGAGAAACAAAGAGAGACCGTCATTTATCACCTTCAGTCTCTCTCCCTAAGGCCTTTAAATAAGGTCAGAAATCTGGGAGTAATAATAGACTGACTTAAACTTCAATAGCCACATTGGATCGGTAACATCAGCAGCTTTTTACCATCTGAAAAATATTGCCAAAATTAAAAATATTGTGTCCAAAGCAGACTTGGAGATTCTTATTCATTCTTTTGTTTCCAGTAGGCTGGATTACTGCAATGGCCTGCTCACAGGTCTCTCCAAACATGCAGTAAAACAGCTGCAGTATATTCAAAATGCTGCAGCCCGAGTCCTGACTAGAACCAGGAAGTACGACCACATTAGTCCGGTCCTCAGGTCTCTGCACTGGCTTCCCGTGGCCCAGAGGATAGACTTTAAAGCAGCTCTGCTGGTGTACAAGTCTCTCCATGGCCTTGCACCAAAGTACATCCATGATATGCTAGTCCCATATGAACCAGCCCGGACTCTGAGGAGCGCAGGGACGGGACTCCTGTTAGTGCCCAGAGTCAGGACTAGACAGGGGGAGGCTGCTTTTCAGATTTATGCAGCTAAAGTCTGGAACAGTCTTCCTGAGGATGTGAGACTGGCTGCCTCTCTGTCAATGTTCAAATCCATGTTAAAGACTTTTCTTTTTTCCTGTGCATACAACTAAAGAATTTTATCTTTTTAACACACCTTGTTATTTATTGTTGTAACTTTTTGTGTTTTTAACTATTTTAATGCTTTTTAATTACATATGTGTTTTTAATTGTATTTTAATGGTGATGATTTGTGCATTGTGTGGTGTGGACTGTGAGGCGCTTTGTGTTGCCCTGTGCAGGAAAAGCGCCCTATAAATAAAGATTGATTGATTGATTGAAGTCTGCAGTGTAGAGGGTGAAGAGGAACGGCGCGAGGACTGGTTCTCACAAACTGGGGTCTGTCTGTGAGGTAGTCCAGGATCCACTGGGACAGGTCGTAGTCCACACCGGCTGTCTCCATCTTGTCCCTGAGAAGCCTCGGCTGGATGGTGTTGAAGGCACTGGAGAAATCAAAGAGGATCCTCACAGTGGAGCCGGGTTTCTCCAGGTGGGACAGGGAGCGATGGAGGAGGGAGATGATGGCGTCCTCGACTCCGATGCCCGGCCTGTAGGCGAACTGCAGCGGGTCCATCGCTGGGCTCAGAGTGGAGCGGAGATGTCCCAGGACCAGTCTCTCCAGTGTCTTCATGCAGTGGGATGTTAGAGCCACTGGCCTGAAGTCGCTGAGGTCTTTGGCCCGTGGTTTCTTGGGCACCGGTACCACACAGGAGGTCTTCCAGATCTGTGGTACCGCCCTCAGCTTGAGGCTCAGGTTGAAGACGCGCTCCATCACTCCACAGAGTTTGTCTGCACAGGAGCGAAGGAGCCTGGAGCTGATGTTATCTGGTCCTGGTGCCTTTCTGGTCTTTATCCACCTCATCTCTGTCTTCACCTGAGCAGCGGTGACTGACAGGGGGGTGCAGGGGGGCTGGGTGGAGTGGGTGCTGAGTAGGGAGTATGGGGGCTCAGTGGTGGTGGGGGGAGTGTCTCTGGGAGGGCTAGTGGGGCCGTGGGAGGAAGACTGTGGTGGCATGACAGAGGTGTGAACGATCGTAGGTGTTGCCCTTTGTTCCGCTGCCGGAGTGAGGGAGAGCGTCTGCGCAGGGGGAGGGGAAGGCTGGTCAAAGCGAGCCAAGAATGTATTTAGCTCGTTTGCCCACAACTGGTCTCCTGTGGACTGACCAGGAGCCCCCCGCACGTCCTGCCGAGCCAGTTGCTCCTCCATCTTACTCCTGTAGATGTTTTTAGCTGCGCGTATATTCCACCTCAACTTCCTTTGCGCAGACTCAAGGGCTTCCTTATCCCCTGACTTAAAAGCCCGCTTTTTGTCCTTAAGCAGAGCTTTGATGTCGGGGTTGATCCACGGCTTATTGTTTGGGAAACACCGTACAGTGCGGGCAGGTACGGCGTTCTCAAAGCAAAAGTTAATGTAGTGAGACACACTCTGTCATGGCATTAATGTCCTCCCCGTGTGGGTCACAGAGCTCGTTCCACAGCGTTGTGTCGAAACAATCTCTGAGGGCCTCCTCTGTGTCCACGTTCCACAGCTTCACCACACGTGAGACAGCAGGATGCCTACGCACAACCGGCTCATAAATGGGCCGTAGATGGACAATGTTGTGGTCGGTGCTGTGTTTGTAGACTGCTCATGGTGGAAAAGAGGCTCTCACATGCATTGTCAGCTTTGGCCGAAGGGGGTATATACACTGCTGTAACAATACTGTGACTATACTCCCGTGGCAGATAGTATGGACGCATGCCAATAACCAAAAGCTCAATGTCTATGCAACAAACCTGGCTCTTTACTGTGCAGTGTTCTGGCTTGCAGTAGTCCGTATTCACAAACACAGCCAGACCCCCGCCTCTCCTCTTCCCACTCGCGGCTGTCCGGTCCGCCTGGATCATGTGAAATCCATCCATGTCCACAGTAGTGTCCGGATTATCAGAGGTCAGCCATGTCTCCGTGTAGATCTGGAGGCTGCAGTGTTTATATTCCCTCTGATCACGCGTCAGGCTGGCCAGCTCGGCTGCCTTGTTGGTCACGGAGGGCAGAGCGGGTCTGGATCCTCGCCTTCTCCCTCGTACTTTCTGCCCAGCGCGGAGGCTCCTGTGCGTCTTAAGCAGCAGCTCGTCCGGGATGTTGTGTCTGTCCTCCGGGAGCACTACGCGGCCTCGCAGCGCTAGTAAGCTCTCCCTGGAGTACGAGACAATGGGCACTCGGGGCACTCGGGCAGCTCAGACACATAGTGTCCAATCCAGTCCCAAAAACACGGAGAAAGTTGGAAAAGACTCTTCCCTCTACTGTGCATTAGCCTCATGTAGCTATGTGTTCAAAAATATTTACAAAATCAAGCGTAAAAAGTGAAAAAGGAGCGAAAGCCACTCATAAACCTGAAAATGAACTAGTTCCATCTCAGATTTAGAGTTTCCGTTATGAACAACTCATTCAAACTCAGGGATAGACTGTTAAACACAAACATTCATACTTTGATATTTGGATTTTACCAGGGTCAGAGCAGATTCCTCAACAAACTACTGTTGATTAATAATGTTTTATCCTCGTGAGAAACTGCAGGTTACATACGCCACTTTTTTATCATGAATTTAATATTATTAACCAAAAACCTAAACTTGATGTTTTTGAATCACTTATGTATGTTATGTTCCTTCAGCTGTCAGACTGTACAACAAACCTGGATGAGTCTTCTGCTATCTATCCATATATCTACAGTATCCATCTATCTTATGTAACTTCCTTGAATTATTGCAGAAATGCAAATGTATGTGACAAATTTGAAGTGTAAAATTATTTTTGTGTGTATTTTCATGTATTTCTAGTTATGAAGAGCAAAAACAAACATAAGTGGAGCCGTCTTATTGAGTGCTCTGGGGGTTCTAGGGTATTTCATAGCAAGAAGGTGGTTGGATTCCACCTCCAGGCCTTTCTGTGCGGCGTTTGCATTGTCTCCCCGTGTCTGCTCCGGTTTCCTTCGAGTGCTCCGGTTTCCTCCGAGTGCTCCGGTTTCCCCCACCACTAAAAACATGTCCATTAGTTCTGAAAGTAATGAACGAATGAGTGAATGGATGGAGTTGGCTTTGATGGTCCAGTGTGATTGGCATCTCCATCACCGTATGTGGAGAGAATGGAACAATTCGACCTGACTTTTTGTTGATAAAACCAAACATACTGTATATTTGTGTATTATCATGTGTTGTGTTTTTCCTATTCTGTTGTTTTGTTGTTATTCTTTGTTCTTGTTTGTCATGACTCGAAATAAAGTATTAATTCATTCATATCTTAACTCTGAACACTGTAAAGCGCTTTGGGTGACCTTGTGTGTGTGTGGAGGGTTGGTGGTGGTCGGAGGGGCTGATGGCACAGACTGGTTGCCTCGCTTCTGTCAGTGTGCCCCAGGGCAGCTGTGGCTACAATAGTAGTTTATCACTACTGTGTATGGAGTGAATGAATAATGACATGTGAAACACTTTCAGCAGTTTTTTGAGTGTCCAAAAAAGTGCTGTATAAAACCGATGCATTATTATTATTGTTCTGTGAAATGTGCTATATACATAAGACTTTCTTGCTAACCTTGATCCAAAATGCATGCTTGTTATTACTATTTGACCAGTGACATCATTGGGAGACGTCCAGAGCTGATAAATGAACCAGGAATGGGAACTCAGCAGATGGACCTTATCACAGCAGCTTTCCAGAACACTGGGAGGGTCTTGTCGGGAAGAGAAGACTGTTGAGTTTAAAGTAAGGGAAAAACAAACGGCTACAGCGGACAGAAGCCCTCTACCACAGACACCATGCAGACCGTGGCGGTGCTGGTTTTGATCGGTTGTGCGCTGAGTAGATCCCAGGTGGTTCAGAATGAGGCCAAATGTTCTCAGTGTTGCGATGGATCCACGAGTATGACCGTGGGCGTGCTGACGGAGAAGGTGGCCCAGCTCGTGGATAGGACGACTCAACTGGAAAGCAGGATCCAAAACACTGAGAATGAACTCCTTGAGCTCAAAAGCATCACTCGAGGTAAGTTTACTTGTCCTCACTATTAAAGCAGAAGGTGGAGTTTTAATCCTGCAGCACTAGAAGCAGTGACTGATCTCCCAAAGGTCACTAAACCTTGTAGGCGCCACGGTTGACTTGAGACGACAATAAAACTTGTTTAAAACGGCCAATTGTGTCAAAATTCATTCAAACTTCAGTTACACATTATTTTGTAATGGTTTACCATTTCCCAGACCCTTGAGTGTGCTACAGTGCGAGTTTTGTTTGTGTGTTCATGTCCGAGTGATCTGTGTCCATAAAAAAAGTTTATATATTTCCTGATAATCCACGATTGCCACGCTCACATGATGTCATTATATGCTAATTAGAGGGGTACATTTAATTCCTACATATACTTTTGGCCATCCCTATAATTTTTCCAATTTACGTAAAGCCTCATTTTTAAGCTATTAAGAAATTACGGTAAAATGTCAAAATTGAGCCTCTTAGGAAAAAACCTCTGGCGCCTAAAGGGTTAACCCTATTACATTCACTCGTTGAAGAAAGCAATGTCATTTTTTTGATGTAGGACCCCTAATAACACAAAGTGTTTGTTTTAACTCCTATTCATTCTGAATTGTAGGCCTTTACCAAATGGTTGAGTTGCATTTTTGATGGTAAAAGGGCCTAAAACATGGTGAGAGGCCCCAAAGAGGTAGATTTTGATAGATTTTTGTAAATATATTGACTCAAAAGGTGATCTACGAAGTGGTTGAGGAAACTATTAAAGGGTAAAAGGTATAGCTTTCTCCTTTCTCCGGTGTTTTTTTAAAAGCTGGGGTATATGCATTTTTGTCGTAGTTCAATGCAATTTGATGTATGTTTGCATAATCAGAATCCGAATCATTTTTATTGCCACGTAAGTAACAGGAAGTCACAGACTTGGAAATTGCTTTGGCTCAGTGCAACAGTCAGAAAGAGATAATAAAAATAAAGAATAAAAAACACTTCTAAGGAATAAATTTAAATTTAAAATAGAGTTAAAGTTACTATTTACAATATACAAGTGCACATGACAGCAGTACAGTGAAGTAAAGTGACGTATGATGGGCAGTAAAGTGACTTTATAAAGGGCGGGGGGACAGGTTAAGAAGTGTTCAAGAGTCCAACAGCAGAGGGGAAGAAACTGTTCTTGTGGCGGGAGGTTCTAGTCCTGATGGACCGCAGCCTCCTGCCTGAGGGGAGTGGTTGTCCATGTGCAGGTGAGAGGGGTCGGCTGTGATACGACCAGCCCGGCCTCGAGCTCGGGCGACGTACAGGTCCTGCAGCGATGGAAGGCTGCGGCCGATCACTTCCTCTGCAGAGCGCACAATGCACTGTAGTCTCTGTTTGTCCCTGACTGTGGCTCCAGCGAACCACACGGTGACGGAGGAGGTGATGGAGGATGTGATGGAGGAGGTGATGGAGGAGGTGATGGAGGAGGTGATGCAGGAGGTGATGCAGGAGGTGATGGAGGAGGTGATGGAGGAGGTGATGGAGGTGGTGATGAGGAGGTGATGGAGGAGTTGATGAAGGAGGTGATGGAGGAGGTGATGCAGGAGGTGATGCAGGAGGTGATGGAGGAGGTGATGAAGGAGGTGATGGAGGAGGTGATGGAGGAGGTGATGGAGGAGGTGAGGATGGACTCGATGATGGCCGTGTAGAACTGCAGCTTGGCTTTCCTGAGCTGCCGCAGGAAGTACATCCTCTGCTGGGCCTTCTTGATGAGGGACCTGATGGTCGGCTCCCACTTGAGGTCCTGGGTGATGGTGGTGCCCAGGAAACGGAAGGACTCCACAGAGGTGATGGGGGAGTCCATCACGGAGGGTGGGGGCGGGGGGACAGTGCTCTTCCTGAAGTCCACAATCATCTCCACTGTCTTCTGGGCGTTCAGCTCCAGGTTGTTACCACTGCACCAGGACACCAGCCGGTCTGCAGGTGGATCACTGAATTGCTGCAGCAGTCGTCTTGGAGGACTTTAGAAAGTTGCCGATTCACCAACGACAGATTAGAGAATCCAACAGTTAAACATGCAATAATTACAAACACAAAGGAGACATTGATCAATCGGGAGCGGAATGACCATAAATCATCGGCAAGGAACAACTCAATAACAGCGGAGTGGGAAAAAAGTGAGAAACCTCCAGATGGCCCACATTGAGAGAGGGATTCGCTCCCACAGACACACAGGGGCTATAGATCCTAGACTCAGGCTGTAGAACGAGGCAGCTCCCATAGATAATCAATTTCTTTTGCTCCAACAGAAAGAGTAAAATGTTAACAAATCAGTCTGGAATTTTTTGCAAACGTGTCAGAAAGAACCCTGCGAGTCACTATTTGAGGCTTTGGGGCAGAGAGCTGATTGGCTGAGAGGCTTTTTTCTCACTTTTCTGTCTGAAAAAACATTCATGAGACATTAGTAAACCAATTTGCTTTGAGGGGGAGGAACTAGTTATTTGTAGATGTAGAGGATTTGTAGACTACATTATTATATTTATTGTTGTTTTTTGAAAGTCAGGGACCAATACAGAAGTTAAAGCTGGAGTACCTAAAACCATTTCTTTATTCCCAAGTTTGACAAAACAATATGTGTTTAATGAGAGAAATACCACCAGGAGAAAGAATGAATTTCACGCTTCTCGACACAATTTGCCAATTTGGGATTATTTGCCTTTCCAGGCACCCCGAAAATCGCCTTTTCTGCAGCTCTTTTGGACTCTGGTTCTGGAGACACTGGGCCGTTTAATGTCGCCACGCCGCTGAAGTACAAGAAAGTGTTTGCCAACTTTGGAAGCAACTACAATTCTGGAACAGGTACAGAGTTCACTCGGCTCAATCTCGACTCTGCAAACTCAACATATTAATCCTGCTGCTGTAAAATCAAACTAAAATCAACAAAACACGCTTCACATGTCATTATTCATTCACTACAAACACGGTGGTGATAAACTACTACTGTAGCCACAGCTGCCCTGGGGCACACTGACAGAAGCGAGGCAACCAGTCTGTGCCATCACTCTCTCTCTCTCACACACACACACACACACACACACACACACACACACACACACACACACACACCTTCTGAATTCTATAACGCGGTCTTTTCCGCTTATTCTCAGGTATTTTCACGGCATCAGTGAAAGGCGTGTACTTCTTCCGTTTCACGATGTTCAACAACCTGCAGCAGACGCCCAACTCGGTGGTGAGTCTGCGGAAGAACGGGGTTTCCATAGTCACTCTCTGGGACGTTTCCGGTTCCGATTCCAACGACACTGGCAGCAACGCGGCAGTGCTCCCCCTAGAGGTCGGAGACACAGTGCACGTGGAGCTGCAGGAAAACCGAATCGTCTACGATGACCAAGCTCACTATAACACCTTCACCGGCTTTCTGCTCTTCACCAACTAGCGCCAATACCGTTTATTTAAATTACCGTATTTTTCTGGACTATAGAGCACACCTGTAAATAAACCGTGAATTGGTCAGTAGGGGCACATGATTGCAATCTCACTCCTTGCCGGTGGGGGTGTACCCGGAAACAGAATTATCCAGTGCATTTTTACGACACCTTCTTTCTTCTTCCTCTCAAAAACGTCTTTACAGGTTGGTACAAAAGTTGGCTCTTGGTTCCAGATGCTGTCGATGCTGAGGGGAGTATTTTTTGGTTTTTGGACCAGTCTATTTTAGCCGCTGTGGAGTTCTGAATGCACGATGTTAAGGCCATAATTTAGTTTATATTAAAATGTCTAAAAGTCTAAAATGTTTAGGTCTAAAATTAGTTCTGAAATTTAAAATCATTATTTAAAAACATCCTGAAATATATTTGTTACTTATGATAATGCTAAATATAAAAATCTTAATATTCCTTTATTTAGAGCTAGAGGGGGCGGTACAGACGGGACAGATCAATCAATCAATCAATCAACGTTTATTTGTAGAGCGCCTTTCCTACACAAGGCAACGCAAAGCGCTTCACATCCCCTATCACATCATGCATAAATCAAACACATTAAGAGCACAAGATATATTAAAAACATTAAAAATAAAATCACAAAAATTAAAAACCTTTAAACATTAAAATCACAGATGGGACTAAAATCATAAATAGTCACAGTGCATTAAAAAGATTAAAGATAAAAACAAAGATGAAAAGATAAAATCATTCAGTTGTATATGCGCAGCTAAACAGAATTGTTTTGAGCCTAGATTTAAAAGATGCCAGAGTAGACGCCTGTCTCACATTCTCAGGAAGACGGTTCCAGACTCTAGCCGCATGAATCTGAAATGCAGTTTGCCCATGTCTAGTACCGACTCTGGGCACTAACAGGAGTCCAGTCCCTGTGCTCCTCAGAGTCCGGGTCGGTTCATATGGCACAAACATGTCATGGATGTACCTTGGCGCGAGACCATGGAGAGACTTGTACACAAGTAAAGCTGCTTTGAAGTCTATTCTCTGAGGAACAGGAAGCCAGTGCAGAGACCTGAGAACTGGTTAACATGGACAGAGTATTCATAGATGGGACAGGTGTGGGGGGAATTGGCATAATGAGGGTGACCGACATGGTTTTTGACCGCAACGCAACGCACGAACGCACGCACGCTACGCGCAGACTATTTGATTTGAAATAAAACTTTGGAAATGGATCTACGGCTACGTGTTGTGTTTGATGCTGTGAGTCAGAAAGCGGACACCCAAAGGATGGCTACATGATCGCTTAGAAGCCAACACACACTTGGTAAATTAATGGGGCTAGTGCCGACTAACGCAAATGCATTTTTTCACATTTTCCTGTGGGAGGGGCTGCTTGCGGCCATTTTGAATCTGCCCATGTCTGTGGCACATACATACACAGAGGAAATAGGTGTCACTATGTCCGTTAACATTTACAGTCTGTGGATGTGATGCACGTGTTGCTTTCTGATTGGATAAACTTAAGAGCTAAAATAAAAAAAGTTGACCATGGAGATCGTGGGTGTATCATTTGTGTGTTTTGGTCTTGAGATTAAAGGCGCTATACCCGTTTCTGCAATGTTTGAATGTTTAGCACCGCCCCCCAACTCGCTCACAGGCTTCTCATTTTCCCTACGCTCTCAGCCACCTAGTTTTATTTGCGATCTGATATGTATGCTAACATTAGCATTAGCGCAACTTCTTGTAAGCTGTACAACAATCACTGATGAAATGTATGGAAGATTTTTTGTGTCATCAGATTTTGAATGTTTTTTAGCTTGAATTTTTCCATTTGAAATTTTTAACCCTGAAAAAGCATGTTTGAATATTTTTATCTTTGCATTTCAATCACTAAAAATTCTGTTTACACATTTCAATGTGATTAAAATGTCAAAATGACATATTTACCTTCAAAATAATCAATATTTATTTTTTTCAATGAAAAAAAAAAGACGGATTATTTGTTCCATCAGAAATTGAATTTTAAATGAACCTGAATTCATCTATTTGAATGTCTTTAACATCTTGAATTTTTCAGTAAATTTCAGTTACTGATGATCAATTTCATAATGTTAAATTCAACAGTCAAAATTCAATGGTGAAAAATGCACATGACACATCCGGTGTTCTGACGAGTTATGTGCTCTGTCAGTTGCTCTGTCAGTTGCTCTGTCAGTTGCTCTGTCAGTTGCTCTGTCAGTTGGTCGGTCAGTTGCTCTGTCAGTTGCTCTGTCAGTTGCTCTGTCAGTTGCTCTGTCAGTTGCTCTGTCAGTTGGTCGGTCAGTTGCTCTGTCAGTTGCTCTGTCAGTTGGTCTGTCAGTTGCTCTGTCAGTTGCTCTGTCAGTTGCTCTGTCAGTTGGTCTGTCAGTTGCTCTGTCAGTTGCTCTGTCAGTTGCTCTGTCAGTTGCTCTGTCAGTTGGTCTGTCAGTTGGTCTGTCAGTTGCTCTGTCAGTTGCTCTGTCAGTTGCTCTGTCAGTTGGTCTGTCAGTTGGTCTGTCAGTTGCTCTGTCAGTTGTCTGTCAGTTGCTCTGTCAGTTGTCTGTCAGTTGGTCTGTCAGTTGGTCTGTCAGTTGGTCTGTCAGTTGCTTCTGTCAGTTGCTCTGTCAGTTGCTCTGTCAGTTGCTCTGTCAGTTGCTCTGTCAGTTGCTCTGTCAGTTGCTCTGTCAGTTGCTCTGTCAGTTGCTCTGTCAGTTGGTCTGTCAGTTGCTCTGTCAGTTGCTCTGTCAGTTGCTCTGTCAGTTGCTCTGTCAGTTGGTCTGTCAGTTGCTCTGTCAGTTGCTCTGTCAGTTGGTCTGTCAGTTGCTCTGTCAGTTGCTCTGTCAGTTGGTCTGTCAGTTGGTCTGTCAGTTGCTCTGTCAGTTGCTCTGTCAGTTGCTCTGTCAGTTGGTCTGTCAGTTGGTCTGTCAGTTGCTCTGTCAGTTGCTCTGTCAGTTGCTCTGTCAGTTGCTCTGTCAGTTGCTCTGTCAGTTGCTCTGTCAGTTGGTCGGTCAGTTGCTCTGTCAGTTGCTCTGTCAGTTGCTCTGTCAGTTGCTCTGTCAGTTGGTCGGTCAGTTGCTCTGTCAGTTGGTCTGTCAGTTGCTCTGTCAGTTGCTCTGTCAGTTGCTCTGTCAGTTGGTCTGTCAGTTGGTCTGTCAGTTGGTCTGTCAGTTGCTCTGTCAGTTGCTCTGTCAGTTGCTCTGTCAGTTGGTCTGTCAGTTGGTCTGTCAGTTGCTCTGTCAGTTGGTCTGTCAGTTGGTCTGTCAGTTGGTCTGTCAGTTGGTCTGTCAGTTGCTCTGTCAGTTGGTCTGTCAGTTGGTCTGTCAGTTGGTCTGTCAGTTGCTCTGTCAGTTGGTCTGTCAGTTGCTCTGTCAGTTGCTCTGTCAGTTGCTCTGTCAGTTGCTCTGTCAGTTGGTCTGTCAGTTGGTCTGTCAGTTGCTCTGTCAGTTGCTCTGTCAGTTGCTCTGTCAGTTGGTCTGTCAGTTGCTCTGTCAGTTGCTCTGTCAGTTGCTCTGTCAGTTGCTCTGTCAGTTGCTCTGTCAGTTGCTCTGTCAGTTGCTCTGTCAGTTGCTCTGTCAGTTGCTCTGTCAGTTGCTCTGTCAGTTGCTCTGTCAGTTGGTCGGTCAGTTGCTCTGTCAGTTGCTCTGTCAGTTGGTCTGTCAGTTGCTCTGTCAGTTGCTCTGTCAGTTGGTCTGTCAGTTGCTCTGTCAGTTGGTCTGTCAGTTGCTCTGTCAGTTGGTCTGTCAGTTGGTCTGTCAGTTGCTCTGTCAGTTGCTCTGTCAGTTGGTCTGTCAGTTGCTCTGTCAGTTGCTCTGTCAGTTGCTCTGTCAGTTGCTCTGTCAGTTGGTCTGTCAGTTGGTCTGTCAGTTGGTCTGTCAGTTGCTCTGTCAGTTGGTCTGTCAGTTGCTCTGTCAGTTGCTCTGTCAGTTGCTCTGTCAGTTGGTCTGTCAGTTGGTCTGTCAGTTGCTCTGTCAGTTGGTCTGTCAGTTGCTCTGTCAGTTGGTCTGTCAGTTGGTCTGTCAGTTGGTCTGTCAGTTGGTCGGTCAGTTGCTCTGTCAGTTGGTCTGTCAGTTGCTCTGTCAGTTGCTCTGTCAGTTGCTCTGTCAGTTGCTCTGTCAGTTGGTCTGTCAGTTGCTCTGTCAGTTGCTCTGTCAGTTGGTCTGTCAGTTGCTCTGTCAGTTGCTCTGTCAGTTGGTCTGTCAGTTGCTCTGTCAGTTGGTCTGTCAGTTGGTCTGTCAGTTGCTCTGTCAGTTGCTCTGTCAGTTGGTCTGTCAGTTGCTCTGTCAGTTGCTCTGTCAGTTGGTCTGTCAGTTGCTCTGTCAGTTGGTCTGTCAGTTGGTCTGTCAGTTGGTCTGTCAGTTGGTCTGTCAGTTGCTCTGTCAGTTGCTCTGTCAGTTGGTCTGTCAGTTGGTCTGTCAGTTGGTCTGTCAGTTGCTCTGTCAGTTGGTCTGTCAGTTGCTCTGTCAGTTGGTCTGTCAGTTGGTCTGTCAGTTGCTCTGTCAGTTGGTCTGTCAGTTGGTCTGTCAGTTGCTCTGTCAGTTGGTCTGTCAGTTGGTCTGTCAGTTGCTCTGTCAGTTGCTCTGTCAGTTGGTCGGTCAGTTGCTCTGTCAGTTGCTCTGTCAGTTGGTCTGTCAGTTGCTCTGTCAGTTGCTCTGTCAGTTGGTCTGTCAGTTGCTCTGTCAGTTGGTCTGTCAGTTGCTCTGTCAGTTGGTCTGTCAGTTGGTCTGTCAGTTGGTCTGTCAGTTGGTCTGTCAGTTGCTCTGTCAGTTGCTCTGTCAGTTGGTCTGTCAGTTGCTCTGTCAGTTGGTCTGTCAGTTGCTCTGTCAGTTGGTCTGTCAGTTGGTCTGTCAGTTGCTCTGTCAGTTGGTCTGTCAGTTGGTCTGTCAGTTGCTCTGTCAGTTGCTCTGTCAGTTGGTCGGTCAGTTGCTCTGTCAGTTGCTCTGTCAGTTGGTCTGTCAGTTGCTCTGTCAGTTGCTCTGTC